AAGTCGGCCGCTTAACCGACTGAGCCACCCAGGCGCCCCCAGACTGTTCTTCTAAAGGGGCTACATTATTTTACTGTTTCATTTATTTTTAAAGTTATGACCGCTTTTGGTCATGAAACATAATTTGTCAGACATTGTCAGACGAGGAGCTGGGGACACGTTTTTGAGAAAAACAGACAAGTCCCTGCCTTCATTGAGCTAACAGTCCAGTAGGAGAGAGAGTGACACTGAACAAGCAAAAGAGCGAGTAAAGGTAAAATTAAAATAGGTTATTCGACAAAAGGGGCCAAAATTAAAATGTAAAAATGATGATAAGATAAAGTAATACAAAATGAATACCAGCGAAGACAAGATTGAAAGGTTAAAATAAAAGCGGAAAAATACAGGGACGCCTGGGTGGCTCAGTCGGTTGAGCGTCCGACTTCAGCCAGGTCACGATCTCGCGGTCTGTGAGTTCGAGCCCCGCGTCGGGCTCTGGGCTGATGGCTCAGAGCCTGGAGCCTGTTTCCGATTCTGTGTCTCCCTCTCTCTCTGCCCCTCCCCCTTTCATGCTCTGTCTCTCTCTGTCCCAAAAATAAATAAAAGTTAAAAAAAAATTTTTTTTTTAAAAAAAAGGGGGAAAAATACAGTAGCCAAGTGTCTCATAGATGATAACCAAGTACCCTGAAGTCCCTGCCTGCTGATTCTTTGTGGGTTCTTCTAGCCAACCTGTGGATACTGACCTGTGACTGCCCAGCTCCCCGGTTTCTCTAGTGACGTTGCCTACTTACTATTCTGGAAAGATAATCCATCGCACTAACTATCTCGCTGAAATGAGGACACACCTTCCCCGTCTCATGTCACCCTCTCCCCAGGCCCTAGGCAGGGCTACCTTATGCTCTGTTTTGTTGAGACTTAAAGATACCGCCATTTAATTTGATTCACTTATGATGACTTTCCTCTCCCTCAGGCTCAGTATAAGCCCTTGGAGGTTGGACCCAATTTAAAAATGGCTTCATTCTGGGGCGCCTGGGTGGCTCAGTCGGCCAAGCGTCCAACTTTGGCTCAGGTCATGATCTCGTGGTTCGTGAGTTCGAGCCCCGCGTCGGGCTCTGTGCTGTCAGTGTGGAGCCCACTTCGAATCCTCGGTCCCTCTCTCTCTGCCTCTCATGCTCTCTCTTACCCTCAAAAATAAACATCAAAAAACAAAATAAATGAAAAATTGCTTCATTTCTCCCACCACACCCTGGACCAGGTTTATGCACCTCGACAGCTTTTCCTCAGAGTGGTTAGTTCTCAGCCTTTGCGGTGAACTCAGAGAATTTGAGGAAGACCTCGTCCCTGAAAAATATGAACATGTATGCACCCCCACACAGTGTTCATACAATTTTTAGGAATTTATAGTCTCTGAAATTCAACTGTGGATTTCGTGGAGGGCTAGACCCCAGACTAAACCCCCTAGTTTAAGCATTTAAATCCTGAGCCCCCTCCCAAAGCAGTTGGAAGGGGTGTGGTCCATAGATCATGGACCATGGTTTCAGGATCGCTCTGACTGCCTGTCAAAAACCAGCCCAGCGAAATCCAACTCTCTGGGCGTGTGTCCTTGGAATCTGCATGGATTCATTTCTTGTGGCTGCTCTAACAAATTACCACAAATTTAGCAGCTTAAAATAACCGAAATGTATTCTCTCCCTATTCTGAAATCACGTTCGCTGGGCCATGGTCAAGGTGGCTGCAGGGCTGTGTCCTTTCCGGGGACCCTAGAAGGGGAATCTCTTCATTGTCTCTCTTTATCCAGCGTCTGGTGGCTTCCAGCACTACCTGCCTGGCAGCCGCGTCACTTAATCTCTTCCTCTCGTGGTCACATTTCCCTCTTGTCTTGTGTGTGTGAAATCTCCCTCTGTCTCTTTCCTATAAAGACGGCCCTTGTGACCTGCGCAGGTAATTTATGTTACGCACCCCATCTCAAGATCCTTAATCACGTCTGTGAAGAGTTCGGATGTCACAGAAGGTGACATTTATAGGTTCCAGGGATTAAGACCTTGTATTTTGGGGGGGCCATCATTCAGCCTACTAAACTGCCTTCCCGCAAGCTTCCTGTGAGATTCATACGAGGAACACGGGCTTGTGGAGATGGCCCTTGGTGGCTTGGACAAGTGTGGGGAGCCATTGCCAGTCATTGGACACATTGGCTCAGAGAAAAATGCAATGGGAAGAATGGGCGCTTCGGAGCCCACAAGTTGAACTGCAGTTCTCACTCTGCCTCCTCGCAGCTGTGACTTGGGGCAAAGCATGGGTCCTCTGCAACTGTGTATTCTTACCTGTCAAGTGGGGATGATAGTGCCTCTGTCAGGGCAACTGGGATTAGTAGAAACCCTGGAGGTGAAGCATCTGGAAGTTATTATTGCTGTTGTCTTTCCTGGGAAGAACCTCTGATCCACTAAAAAAAAAAAAAAATAATAATGGTTCAAAGAAAATATGAATAGCTAATGGCGTGGAGACACAGAGCTCGGGTCTTGGTTCTCTTCTCTTTACCGGACGCCTGAAGCATCTGAACTTCTAGCTTTAAACACCACCCCTGTGCCTGTGCCTCCCGAGTATCTATCTCCAGATCAGACCTCCTTCCCAGACTTTAGATTCATATACGCGGCTGCCTATTCGACATCTCCACTCGCATGTCCGATTGAACACGTCTACAACCAGACTCGTGATTTTCCCTCCCGAGGCGCCTCCACCTGCTGTCCTCCCTGCCCAGGCTGCCTCTGTGTCCTGGTCCTATAGGGGACAGGCACAAGCCCCTGGGCCTGTGCTCCTCCTCAACCAGGGCACCCCTTACAGTGTGGCAGGTGTTGTCTTTCAACCCCGCTGTGAGAGTCTTCAGCCGGGGCTGCTGAGCTCAGATCTGTACCCCAGCACCTGACTCACTGCCTAGCACGTAATAAGGAACATAGTTACCGAATGAATTGATTTTTAGATAGGCTGTAAAAAGGTACAGTGCCCTTCTGTAGTGAGAGCATGTTTACAAAGCTTTGGTGGCCCCTACCATTGTGTGTGTCTGTATGGGGGGTGTTGGGAGGGCTTTCAAGAAACCCACGAGCTGGGCTTTGGAGAACAAGTTTGCTTTTGGCAATTAGTGTGGCAGCAATCTTGGAAAGCTGTCCTGGCGGCAGGAAGACGCTGGCTGGCGGATGCCTGCAAATGGCAGAGGCAGGCTGCCGGCACCCACCAGCTCTTCATCCGGTGGGGAACACTCAGGATTGTATGTGCTAATCTACTCCCCTCCCTCCTGGAGTTAGGACCCCTCCCAAATTCTGTCAGGACCTTCCAAAGGGCTTTTTCCGTGGTCGGCCCTCGGGAAGTGAATCAGTTCCTTTAGCAGGCTCCTCTGAGGCTTGGTGGCTGCCCCACCCCAACGCTAAAGCTAAAGTTTCTTTGGCCATGGTTCAGAGTTTGCCAAGAAGAAAAGCTAACAGGAGGGCCACAGCTCGTAGGCATTTCCTGTTGGCAGAGGCACTGAGCCCACAGGCATTGTCCTGAAGAAGGAAGGGCTGATCAGCCTGGCCTGTCCTTGTGGGAGCCTGCTGGCCAACCATGGCCCTAGGTCCCGGCCACCTGGGGGCACAGACCAGCAGCTCAACAGCTTTTGCTTCTGAGGACACGCTACCTCCTGCCAATGTTCTTATAAAATGTGTTATTTAGAGGAAGGGTTTGTGGCTACTACTCAACTGGTAACATTAAAAAAGGCTCTATGCCAGTTTGATTTACCTGCTGTAAGTATAGAGAAATCAATTCTTTGAGAATGCATTTTGAAATAATGGCATTTCCAAATCTGAATCAATCCCATTGTGGACATGTTGGATTATCATGAGAGAAGCAGGTGGTAGGACTGGTGGGGTCCTGGGTTCGTTCTATCTATCTTCTATCTACCTATCTATCTATCTACCCACCTAGTTAATCATCTATCTATCCATCCATCCACCCACCCATCCATCATCTAAGTTTATTTAGAGAGAGAGAGAAAGAGAGAGCGAGCACACACACGAGGGGCAGAGAGAATCCCAAGCAGGCTCCTTGCTGTCAGCACAGAGGTCCTGGGTTCTATTTAAAACTCTATCATCAGCTTACTGTTTGATCTTGTGAGAGTTTCTTTACCTTTTTCACCCTCGAATGCTTCATTAATAACATCCTGTTGCTTAAAGCAACTTACTTCACAATGCTAGAAGTTGGGTGAGGGCTAATGGAATGCACAGATGTTGAAATGTTACATCAAGGAAAGCCTTATTATTTTTTTTTTTTCCCCACATGATCTTTACCCCCAACGTGGGGCTGGAACTTGGGACACATAGTTGCATACTCTCCTGACTGAGCCAGCCAGGCGGACCAGGCTACTCACCTTTTAAAAAGCCAATTAAATAGAATTCAGTACTTGAATACTTACATTGAAATAATTAGTTAAAAGAAATGTGTGTTCTCACCACAGTTTACAATTCACAAGGAAATCGGCATCCTGCCAAGTTCCATGTGGGCCAGTAAGGGAGCTGGATTAACCTGCTTCCCCAAAGCCAGCCAAGACAGAGTAAAGACAGGAGCTTGTGGTCCCTATTTGATT